AAAGGAGAATATGTTGATATTGTTCCTAATTTTTGGGCTCAATCACTAGGGGTTCTAAGTTTCTCTTGTCTATTTAATATGATATGAAGGCTTAAAACACCTGTGGAGAATTCCTTGAGGGATGCTAAACTTTCTTTCAAAGACATTGATGAGGTTATCCTTGTTGGTGGATCAACACGAATTCCAGCTGTTCAGGAACTTGTGAGGAAGATGACTGGCAAGGAACCTAACGTGACAGTCAATCCAGATGAAGTTGTGTCCTTAGGTGCTGCAGTTCAGGTTGGTTCAGTCTTGTTTAAGTTTAGCAATAGGTCTAGGGCACTTGTTCCTTTGCAGTTGAATGTTAAGGGTTGATTTAGATTTTGCTGCAATTTTTTCATATTATTGTTTGAAGCTCTATTTTTCATGTTTCTACCATCTGTCACTCTAATGTAGGCTGGTGTTTTATCTGGAGATGTCAGTGATATTGTGCTTTTGGATGTGACACCTTTGTCGATTGGTCTAGAAACTCTTGGTGGTGTTATGACCAAAATCATCCCAAGAAACACAACACTGCCAACCTCCAAATCAGAAGTGTTTTCAACTGCTGCTGATGGTCAGACAAGTGTCGAGATTAATGTACTCCAAGGTGAAAGAGAGTTTGTTAGGGATAACAAATCTCTTGGCAGTTTCCGTCTTGATGGTATCCCCCCAGCACCACGGGGGGTTCCGCAGATTGAAGTCAAATTTGACATCGATGCCAATGGTATCCTCTCTGTCACTGCTGTTGATAAGGGAACTGGGAAGAAGCAGGACATCACCATTACTGGTGCTAGTACCTTGCCGAACGATGAGGTATGCTTTCCTCTGATGCACAGACAAATTTCTCGGAAGATGTCTAATAATTATTTGCACTTATTTCACGACATTAGCAAATGTGTGTATTCATTGGGTTTGGATGTAAGTATAGATAGTTAATTGTTGCCTATTCTGTTGTTAAAATTATTCAGGTTGATCGAATGGTAAAGGAAGCTGAGAAGTTTGCAAAGGAGGATAAGGAGAGAAGAGATGCTATAGACACAAAGAACCAGGCTGATTCTGTTGTCTACCAGACAGAGAAGCAGCTGAAAGAGCTTGGAGAAAAGGTTCCCGGTCCAGTCAAAGAGAAAGTAGAGGCAAAATTGCAAGAGCTCAAGGATGTGATTTCGGGGGGTTCAACAGCAGGTATGAAGGATGCCATGTCTGCCCTCAACCAAGAAGTCATGCAGCTTGGCCAGTCGCTTTACAACCAACCTGGTGCAGAAGGGGGTGCTGCTGGGCCTGCACCTGGTGGTGAAACTGGACCTTCGGATTCATCGAACAAGGGGCCTGATGGGGATGTAATTGATGCAGATTTCACTGACAGCAAATGAATAAGGTAGGTTTTGAACCAGGTATGAGATTTCGGTTTTGCAGGTCTTTAATGTGGAGGTGGGGGTTTGGGTTTACTTTCATTTTTGTTCCCTGGTAGTAAAAGAAAACAATCGGGTTTAGGATTGTAGAGGATGAAGCACCATATAGATATAGAACGATTTGGGTGTTTTAAGTTGCGAACATTGTTTCAATTATTAATGGATTTCTTGATTTAGCTCCTATATTTAAGAAATGAATGTTACTTGATCATTTTGGTTTATGAACTCATCTAAAGAGGCTTTCGGGTTTGACTTTCATTGCAAAAGAAAATAATTAAGTGAATTTTATTGTGAATTTAACTGTTGCAGGCTAAACTAAACTCATTCACAAGTTTGAAAGCAATTTTCAAACTGATTGGTTTGGTACTTATTTTTCCGATGCTTATTATCATACAACTCAGATGATACAAGTAATGTATAAGAATCCTTCTTAGGTGTATTTGGTTTGTTGGAATGTTTACGAGGGAATTGGATTCTGTGAAGAATTGAAATTGAAATTTGAATATGAAACATGTTTGGTTGGCAGGAAATTGAATTAGAATCTAATTCCATATTCTGTTTGGTTCGCATACATGTCAGATGAATTTGATTTCAGTAATATAAAATGATAGAATTGTCTTTGTTTTTTTTATTTAATTTTAGTTTGTTTTATAACTTATATGTAGTAATATATTATAAAAATTTAAAAAATATTAAATTTTCATTTTATTGATTGATTATTTATTTTAATAAATTATAAAAATTATATTAATAAATATTATAAGTAAAAATCATCATAATTAGGGATGGCGATTGGTCGGGTTTATGGTCCACCGACTTGACTCGAGAACAAGGGAATCTCCACCTGAGACTCGACTTGATCCGTTCAAAATAAAGTTTCACCCGACTTGAATATATAAATTAAAAATCTGATCAGACACGACTCGAAATAATAAAAAAATATTTTTATTCAATAAAAACAATGATTTAATTGAAAAAATTATATATAAAAGGGTATTATTATAATTATTTCTAAATATATAAGGTAAAATTATATATTTTTTTGGGTCGGGTATTTTTCATCCTAAACCCGAATCCGACCCGAATATCACACTTAAAAAATTCGACCCGACCCGAATATCAAACTTAAAAAAACCCGACCCGACTCGAATTCGAATTTTTTTAAAAAAAATCCGACCCGATTCGAAATTTTTAAAAAAACTCGACCCGAATATCATACTTAAAAAACCAACTAGAATATCAAACTTAAAAAATGACCCAATCCCGATTTTTTTTAAAAAAAAATCCGACCCGAATACCAAAAGATTGATAAAGGTAGTATAATCAAATTTTACATTCCCTCCTCCAAAAGATTTTAATTCCATCATGTTATGGATGAAATTTACTTTCCCTCCCTTAATAGAATTGGATTTCAATTCCCCTTAATTCCAAAGGATTTCAACGAACCAAACGCCACCTTAAAAGATATTTAAGTATATCAATCATTCTTAGGGTATTTAAAAGGTCACCATATCGATCCCTATTATATCGGTGATACCAGTAATGTATAAGAATCATTCTTAGGGTATTTAAAAGGTCAGTATATCAATCATTCTTAAGGTATTTAAAAGGTCAGTGTTACGATCCCTATTATATCGGTGCGCCAGGTTGCCTGCCTATGCTTCCGAGGGATTGACTTTGCCATCTATTGGAGCAATTGATCTTGTGCATTGGATGGTTGAGATTCAAGCTTGGCAGCAACTTGCAACACTCGGTTTTGAACTTCTAAGGATGAAAGTGAGGTTGGAAGTCCAATGCAGTCGGTCTCTAACTTCCCAGCAATAACAGGAGCAAGCAACAGCCTTCAATAACAGCTTCCTGAGCCGAACACAAGTTGACATTTATTTTTTTTAAAAAGCGTGCTTTTAATTTCAAGTCATTCAAGGATGGTAAAAGTTCAGCACTGTATAGTGCTTGAAAATTTTCAGGGAAAGGGAATAGAGAATAAGAAACAGCTCATTGAGTATAGAAAGGGTTGTCTCTGGCTTTAGTTCCTTAAGGACACCCAATATTGGAAGTCACCCTGGACCAAGTATGGTATCTGTGAACCACAAATAACATTCAGTTTATGTAATCTGTTTTGCAGCATCCAATAACTTACTAAATGCAATAACTAGTGTACAAGTGCAAGAGGTTAGCGGGTAAGACATCTAAAAAAATAATATTGTAATGAGAGAGAGAGAGAGAGCAATAATGCAATACTGGCAAGGATTTAAGGATCGAACCATTTGGGGCATTGTGTGTTTGGTCAGTTTTTAAAACCACTAGTGTGACCATATTTAGCACAAAGCGGTTGAGGATTGATTTCATGTAACATGATGACGTTTGTCTAAACCTCAGGTAAATAAAAGATACATAAGCATAACGAAATTGTTACGAGGGGAGATGAATTAGGGTTAACTGAAAAGGAATTAGGAGATTTAGGGTTCGAAAGAAATTGGGAATTAGAAAAGGGAAAAATTGAGTCAGGTCAGCCAAGTGGTTATGATACAATGACCAAACCAGATCCAGGCAGCAGAATAGGTCAAAGGGGAATACAACAACAAGCCCAATGCCAGCCGAGGAGCCTAATGGGTATCAGCAAATGGACTGCCCAACAACCTGTATGAGTGAGCAATAAACCGTTAGAATTATCAGTACGATTGTACATTGTTAGTAAATGGAGTGCACTGTTGATATATAAAACTTGTACCCGATCATCGGGGATTTTTTATGCTGAATGAAATGAATCTTTTCTAAATTCCTCTTTTTCTTAATCTATTTCTTCCGAGAAACCTTACTAAAATTCCTAAAACATAGCAATTGATATCAAAGTCAGGTTATTTTGATCCAAAAATCAGTAATTTTTTTTTACCTTAAGGATCTTAACAAAGTTAATGTCCAAAAGTAAGCCACTTCAAAAGTTGGATTTCGATATAACAGGAAAAAACTATTTTTTAAGTCAAGAGAATAATAGATTAACCATCTATGAGAGAAGATTACAACTATTTAGACAATATTGTCACCCTCTTGTTACAGTAACATTGCCCACACAAGTCTCTTGCGTCATGCCGGACATCAATAAGTAAAACTCCCTAACCTAAATAAGAAAATATTCTTGAAAATGTCTGTTTAAACTGAGCACATAAGAACATTCATACTTCAAAGTGGTTGAGGTATCAAAAAGTGCCACAAGAATAAAATCATGAGATTTTAATATTTGGAGAGAAACTAAACTAAAATAAAATATAAATGTCATATCAATAAAAAGTAATCTATATTAACAGTTTAGCATGTGTGGATATATTATTACTCTTCTATTTTTTATTTAATGTCACGATGATTAGGATAAAAATAAATCAAAAGCTTAATGAATAAATTAAAATTTTTATTTTTAGTAATCTAAATAGAAACGAAAAGACCAACATTCAGTAGGCTCACAATAAAACCCTAGACAACACCCTTTAAGAGAAAAACAGATCTTAGCCGTTAATGCACACTCCATCATGGTGGCTCTATCCTAGGGTTTTTATGTTATATATTTCTTTTTTTATATAACCATCTTCTCCTCCTCTTCAAGCCGTCTTCCCCTCTCCCTTCTCAAGATTGAAGTTTCAAAAAATGGTAAGCCTTTCTAACGTCTAAGAGCTCTATTTAACTGGAATATGTTTTTTTCCCTATGTACGAATTTAAGATTTTTTTTAAAGATCTTAAACCTGCATTAATGTAATGAAATCTGATGACTTTCTGGGTGTTTGATCCTTTTTTCCACTCTTGGCATTTTCAATAATCTAGCTATCACGCTTTAATCTTCTTTTTAGTTGTTTTGTTTTACTTTGATCTGTGATTTGCTGGTCTTCCTTTTGTGCAAAAAATGGAAGGGTTAGTTTACAGTTTCTCCTATGAAGTGTTAAGATAATGATAATGGCTCTTTGCTCATTGCAGGCATTTGTCAAGGCTCAGAAAACGAAGGCTTACTTTAAGCGGTTTCAGGTTCCTTTCAAGAGAAGGAGAGGTATTTATATATCTATGATTATTTTGTATCTCTATTTGTGCGTGTTTATAAGAAATGCAATTTGAGCTTCTGTCTTTTGACAGTTTTTTCTGTTTTACTTATTATTTGTAGAGGGAAAGACTGACTATCGGGCTAGGATTCGCCTAATCAATCAAGACAAGAACAAGTACAACACTCCTAAGTATCGTTTTGTTGTCCGATTTGTATCCTAAAACTTGTTTATTCTTACATTGTCATTATACTTTTAGCTTAACAAATTCCTACCAAGGTCTTATTTTGTTTAATTGTAGAAATATTAAGCTATCATATGTAATGTCATGAAGATTGAAGCAATACGTTTGAAGTACTGAGTTCTGATTATTAACTCTGCTTTGAGTGTTTATACATATATATATCCTAATGTTTTTGTTTAAGTCATTTGACATTCCTTTGTTTGATTCATTCCTAGTTTGTAAGCTTTTGTCTGATTGTAAAACCTTGACCTTTTGATTAGAGCAACAAAGATATCACTGCTCAAATAGTTTCTGTTAATATTTCTGGTGACATGGTTCTTGCTTCTGCTTACTCACACGAGCTTCCACGTTATGGTCTTGAAGTGGGTCTTACAAACTATGCTGCAGGTATGCTATTTTATCGACTTGGATTCTATTTAAATGAATAAAATTTTATTTCTCACAAGCTTTTGATAAATCTGCACAGCTTATTGCACTGGGTTGCTTTTGGGGCGCCTTGTCCTTAAGATGCTTGAAATGGATGATGAATATCAGGGCAATGGGGGAAGGGTTGAATGTGGAGGTATTATGCAACCCTTCCCCCATTTTTGGGTTAAAAAGAAAAGATATTGTAATTTTTTTCGTATGGTTTAGTTATTGATAGTTTATTTATTACTAGGCTACTGGAGAGGATTACTCAGTTGAGCCAACTGACACCAGGAAGCCTTTCCGTGCTCTCCTTGATGTAGGGCTGATCAGGACAACCACTGGCAATAATGTTTTTGGTGCTCTGAAGGTATTATAAAAATTCTAATTGCAATTTTTTCTTTATGTTGAATATTCTGCTTCTTCAATGTTTGTTCTTAGCATTCAAATTTGTTTGTGCCCTAGAGTTTAATTTAATGGGGGTCGATTAGATCTTTAGTCTTAATGAAGCCTCCGAACTTCAGGAGTTGATAGAATTTGCTTTTTGTCTGATCAGGGAGCATTGGATGCTGGTTTGGATATTCCTCACAGTGACAAGAGGTTTGCTGGGTTCTCCAAGGACAACAAGCAACTTGATGCCGAGGTTCACCGCAAATACATATATGGTGGCCATGTTGCTGCATATATGAGGGTAAGTAATTCTATATCCATAATAGTATATCTCTTTTCTTGAATTTCACTATGCTGGTTTATTTCTTTCTCTTTGGCATGCTTAATAAACAAATATGATTATTTTTGTAGATTTTAATGGAAGATGAGCCAGAGAAATATCAGTCTCACTTTAGTGAGTATATCAAGAGGGGGATTGATGCAGATAACATTGAGACCCTGTACAATAAAGTTCATGTCGCAATCCGTGCCGACCCAAGTGCTAAGAAATCTCAAAAGGAGCCTCCTATGCAGCACAAAAGGTCAGTTTTGATGATCCGACACTTTTTAATCATTGAAGATTCTTCAGGAATATCTTACCATGTTTCATGTTAATCACATTGCAGGTTTAACTTGAAGAAGCTAACATACGAGGAAAGGAAAGCTAAGTTGATCGATCGTTTGCATGCCCTTAATGCAGCAGCCGGTGTTGATTCAGAGGAAGAGGATTGAAGCCTGAAAGCACCACAGCCATTGCTGGTTCATATACTAGCAATTTTATCCAGAACCTGTATTGTATCTCTACTTTTATCTCTAGTTAATTTTTTTGTTCAAGACGGGTTTTTTTTTTACAGTTTTTGAGTAATAGAATTACAAGAATTTTTGGGGATGTTTTGTTGTGTTGTGAAATGCAGTTCAAGTTTTGTTCAAAAGATTTTACTTCGAAATTTCATAAAAGACTTTGCTTTTAATAATTAGGTTCCAAAGCTGTGTAAAAATTGAATTTTTATATCCTTTAAATACAATTTATTTAATGGTAATATCAACTAGACAAAGCGTCCATATACTTGGCAACTTTGTACATATTGCTTTCTTAACTATTTTTTCCTTATCGAATTTCCCCTAAAGTTTTTATTGTTACACATTTCAGCCCATGATGCTAACGTCTCTGAAGTTTGAAATCTAAGCATATGTGAACCACTTATCTTATGACACGTGTTTTTAATAAGTTAATTGACTAATTAATTTTTAGAACATTGGGTTGATGAGACTTTAAAACCCACACTCTCTTTCTCCATTTTCATGTGAATCTCGAAATCCCCAGGATCCTTTCTTCAAATTCTCAAGCAGATTGAGGCCAATCAAATTAGAGGTCAATTGATAAAAGTATTAAGATGATTTGTGTTTTAAGCCCCTATCAAATAAAATATCCATGTTAACATTAAATTTCTGGTAGAGTTGCAGATATCAATTCAATTAAAAAAATATTAAAATAGTTTTTTCCATTAAATAAAAATTAATATTTTTATAATTTTTTTAAAATAGAATTAAAAAATAATTTATTCATATATCAAATTTACCTTCAGAATTACTTATATATAAATTCCTCCCATTAACCTATGATCATTATGAAATAAATTTTAAAAATATTAATATTTATAAAATATTTTCTTTCATTTTTAATGTAGGTACAAAATTTAGTATTTATAATTATATTATGATAATCGAATATAAACGATTTATAATATGAAGTATATGTTAGATGAGTGAAAATAGATGGTTGAGATTAACTCATTGTTTTTTTTCCAGTGAGTATCTTTTATTTCCCTAATGTTACTCTCAGCTGTCTATTTTTACTCATCTAATAATTCTAAATCTGTATAAAACTAATAGAGTTTTATGTTGTGTAATAGAATCTTATTCTTATATAATATATGTAGATATAGATATATTGGAGGGGTAAGATGGGTCCAGAAGAAGAAAACCTTATCAAGTGATGGCCAATGAATTTTGAGATGAGTTTACATCCAAACCTACAAACACTATCCACTCACTCTCATTCCATAGGGTGGTTCTGCGGTGCGGCGCCTAAAAAACGGCTAATATACGGCGTGACCGGTTAAACAAGTGACCGGTTAAAATTTAGACCGGTTATGTTATATTATTTAACCGGAAATATTATAAAGTACAATAACATACTAGGTAGCGCTTATATAATGTAATAGGTAGCGCTTATATTTACCTATTTTATAAGTAAACCGGTATATTTATACCGATAGCATTGCAAATTTACCTATTACATTATATTATATTGAAAGTGTCCATACTTTTTATAAAAAGGATCGATACTTTAACAGTGTTTCATGTTTTCCACCTACAATATTAATTTAATAATTTCATTTGCACAAAAAATTATTTGATTGTTTTGATATTTTATAAAATAATATTTAGAATTTTTAATTTAATAATAATATATATTCGTAACGTAAAAAATAAATCATTAGACGCCTATAATTACTAAATTAATATATTAAAACTCACTCAAAAGATAACCTTAAATTAATGTTTTCCACAGTGAAAAAAGTATGGACACTTTTATAAAAAGGATAGACACTTTACAATATAACCACTACCTATTACATTATATAAACGATACCTATTACATTATATAAGGGCTACCTATTACATCATATGTTTACCTTTCATACATACATACATACCAATCTCTTAGCATCCTTCACTCTCTGTTTAGCTGCTTCAGTTGTAAACATACTATCATATATTGTTACAACATGATCTACCATATCCAACACCAACAGATACCAATGTGAATTATGGTAGTTTATTGTGATCATTATCTGCAACAAATTTCACACCCAATTTGACAAAATTCAACATTCTATATCCGAAAACATCATTTGCAATTGGTATGGTGTCTTACTTCTCACAGTCGGTGAATTTCACATATTATCCAATATGACACCCCAGAAGGTAGAAATATTCTCAACACTTTCTTTATTGTTGGCTTCCAACGCCTGTTGCTGTAATTACGCAACAAACATTATTAATTTACCGTCTATAACACTACTTTTCAATATTTATTAATTTAACTCACCACTAAGAGGTATGGAAGGTAGCCAATCCTCCGGTGTGACTTTTGAGAATCGTAGCATATGGTCCAGGCGAGCAAATCGATAACCTAACAAAATTAATTACACAATCAGAACATATTCAATAAGTTTTATTTATTTTCTACTTTCTACTTACCACACCGCCAACCCATTCCGTAGGCTTCAACGTTGCAACGTCGTATACAGTAGCGAATTGATTTCCCATTGATATTACAGAATATCTGTATGAATCATTAGGATTAATATCTTGTCATGAAATATTTAAATATCACTCACAAAACAATATATTTCACTTACCCCGATTCTAACTCGCTATTCCATAAATAATCACAAATTGCAGCTTCGATGTCATCAATTCCGGTTGGAATGTCCGCTTTTTCAACCTACAATTTTGCATACAAATTTTTGTCACAACAACATAATAAAAATCAAATTAAGTATTCTTTTATTAAACTTACCTTCTGCTTCTTCTTCTGGGGTGCAGGATATTCCGAATCCAAAACTGCTGCTATAACACTCTCCGGTGTATAAATGACATCGACTTCCTTCCTCCTCATTTCTTCCATCTCTTCTTCTTCCTCCTCCCTCTTTTCTTCTTCATATTTTTTCAGTTCATCGTACTTTTTTTCTACATAGCTCTTCATATCTTTTATTTCACCCTTCAATTGAGCTCCTTCATCCGAGTATTTATCAACCACCCCTTCCCCCGTAAGTTCACTCCTCAAATCAACAACCTCCTTCACCACTCCCTCAAATTTTTCTCCCGTCACCATCTTAATATCACCCCTTAACACCGAAACTTCTTTCACCACTTCACCCCTCAACACCTCTACTTCTTTCACCACTCCATCTATTTTTCCTTCCACTACCCCCTTATGCCTCTCGAGTTTCTCTACGACTTGATCAAGTTTCTCTTCGACTCTTGATTGTCTTTGCATGATTTCAAATTGGATTTTTTTGATATCAGCCAATTCAGACATCAAAATGTCGAAGTTACTCTGTTTTGCTTCACCGTCGTCCCACTCACCTTCATCCCCCAATACAACCATCCCTCCTTTCTTCTCCTCTGCCTCCACTGCCTCCTCTACATCCTTGCCAATAACCTTCAAAAAATTAAATTACAATATTAAGACATTGATTATATTCTTAATATTATTTAATTACATTTATTACCATTTCTTGCTTCTTCCCTCTATCCAACTTCAACTTCACCATCACTCTAACCACCTCTTCCTTCCCCCATGCACGGATGCGTGCCACTCCGGTTCTTTCATAAGCCGGCACTGCCTCACAGCCCGACCAAAAATCGAACAGTGCAACCTGCATTTATAATAAAATTTATATTTTATATAAAAACACAAAAAAGTGATTCAACTCATTTACCTCTAAGATTGCTATGCACCCTTTGAGGTATCTCTGGCTGCCCTTTTTAAAGGTGATAATTGATTCAATCAATCTCGAATGGATATATTCAGCCCAATTGAATTCACCCTTCAAGCCTTCATCGCAAATGAGCTTCATATATTCCTTGTTCGTTGACGTATCACCCGTTGGACAAAGAAATATACCGACAAGGTACAATAGAACTCGGGCCTTCAGCTCATCCCCCAAGTAAGATCCACTTTTGATATCCTCTTCAACTTCAGTATATGTCACCTTATGATTCAAACCATATTTGGAGGCAAGTGCTTTCCAGTTCTTACTCCTACAGACTTCTATAACACTTTTGCCTTTATTTTGTACCCCAATACGGCTGCAGCAGTCGATACCCCCAGAGGGAATGAATAATCACCATACTTAGCCATACATTGACTGACGTCAAATTGTGCCATCAAGGATCGACACAATTCCCTCCGAATAGGTCGATCCCTTACTCCGATCAACGATCCAAAACCTATTTCTCCCAGCACATTCAACTGACCCTTCTCCTTAAGGTGTTTAATTAATAAATTCACCCTTTTAATGCTGCATCTTGTCGACACTTCCTACATTTTTTAACAATATATAATGTTATAGTTCTTATATATTTTGTATCAACGTATTTACAAGTTTAATGAATACCTTATTTTCATGTGCTTTCCTCCGTTCTTTGTATTCTTTACTATCATTCCTTGACTGTGTGATGTAAGGTTCCTTTTCAGCATCACTCATTGAATTCCATTTGGACCTCACATCTTTTTTCACCTAATATTAAACATAAACGTTTCTTAATCAATACATTAACACTAAATACTAATACTACTCAATGTCAATTTCATTTTACATACCGAACCGCTCTGTGTGCCATCTCCCTTCATCCTTTTGCATTCGGCCATACTGTTAACATTTAAAATTTGTAATCAATTTAAAGTTTATCGATACTTTAATCCAATTACCATTTCAACAATAATAACAAAAAGACATTGATACTTACTAGAAGTACATATATCCACCCTTTGGTTGCTTTCGAGTCTCGGCCTCAATTTCAAAGTCATCTGCTCCACCAACAATTTTCCAACCCATTGACTCCATTTTTCCTTCATATATCAGTTTACGCAAATCAAATTATTTTGTTACATACACTTTTCAATATACAAATATAGATAACTACTCTTGTGGTAAAACGGTTTTCTTCAAAAGAATTTGAATGGCCACACCAAAATGTGTCGGCACATTTATACAACCTATAATATCATTTTCTACCTATAATATTTAATAAAAGTATCGACATTTATATTTTTCCTTGAATATCTATTTCTACCTGCAATCGGTCCCAAAT